CGGAGTACAGAGAAAATGAAAGAGAAACGAATTCAGAATCGATGAGGGTGCGCAGGGGAGAGAATTTTGAATACAGACAACGAGAAAGAGAAGCTAACAGTGAAGCAATGCGGATTCGCAGATCTACTGATGAAACGGAGAGGGATCGCCATGAGAATGCTTTGAGAATGCAGCATCGACGAAGTAGCGGGAAAATGCGTGAGCAGGAACGCTTTAGGGACCGGTAAGCGAAGCAGCAAAAATGAACCATCACTTACACATCGGGTGTTGAAGCGTACGAAAATGCAGTCAGGGAAGGGCCAACATACACGTGCAGCTGCTACGGCAGATTAGAATTCCGACGCTCTATTTCTACACTCAAAATGTCACATCTGCTGCAAGCTAGCGGCGCAAATGAAGTCCGAAGAAATCTTATAAGAAATGTATCTTATCTACAGCAAGCCGAGGAATGCATCTTCTGCAAAACTTGTGTACAAAGCATTAAATGCTGGAAGTAACCCCCTTACTGTCTTTCAAACGGATTATACTTTCCTGTCGTGGACCACAGGCGACAGATTTTGACAAAAATAGAAGAACGACTTGTAGCTGTAAGTCACATTTTCCAGACAATCTGGCCGTCACACGGTCCTTCTGGGCAGTTCTGATGCAAGGGAGGAATTGTTAATGTCCCAATTTCCGTTGACACGGCAGTGTCCCTCCCTCCTCGTCTTCCCACTGGTGCACATGTCGTTCATGTTTGTATTGCACAATGAATGCAGTATAAAGGCAACTACATCACCGGCAACGTCAGACCAAACTGCATCTGGCAAGCTGTGCACCTTGTGGCTCAACTACTTTATCAATCTCACAGTATTGCTCTTTCGGACAACTGGTTGTTGCAGCACTGTCACGTCCAACCCGTTGCGGACGCAAGCATCGAGCCCGTATAGTGAATACGCGACTGCGCCATTTGTTTGGCGAAGCGGAGTTTGGAGGGAAAAGTGTCGTTGCTGTGGGCGACTTTCACCAATTGGGTCCAGTGACGGCAGCACAGGTATATGGAAACAGATCCTACGATCCGTGCACTGAAGTATTTGGTAAACCGTTGTGGCATTTGTTCCAAGTTCACAAACTTACAACGGGATGCGGCGGGACGAGCAGGACTTCAAAAAAGCGCTAACGAATTTAGCGCATGGACAGCTAACACCAGCAGATGAAGTACTTTTCCTGCCCCACACATTCTCGGACCTTCCTCTCGTGCTATGAAGCATCGGCTTGTTTTTCTAGTTTCAAGCAACGCTGAAGTAGATAAATGGGATGAAAAGGTACTGAGGGGGATGCCCGGGACTGAGGCAGTAAACGAGGTACCAGATGTTGTTGCTGAAGACGGATCCGATTCCGTCAGGCGTGTCATATTGGTAAACGTTAACAATGACTGCGTGACTACACAGCAGACAGTGGGTTTGCCACGTTTGCTCCATTTCAAAGTTGGAGCACGATACATGATCACATATAATTTGGACACAAGTGACGTGCTCACAAACGGTGCTACGGGGCGACTAGTGCACATCGATATGTCAGGACAACGCCCCTGCGTAAATACACCGCGGAAACCAGTACGTGTATGGATGGTGTTTGGTGAGCCCACGGTGGGCACCAATCTTCGGAAAAGATATGATGCCATCATTGCTAGATTGCAGTACCTCCTGGCTGGACACCGCTGGAGCCCGCAAATGTGACGATAAAACGCAATAAATCGTCAAATTTGCAAGTACTTCGGAAGCAATTCCCAGTGGTTCCAGCCAAAGCAATAACGATTCGCAAGAGCCAGGGCCAGACGTATACATCTGTTGTCGTTCACACAACACGAAGAATG